TATCATAGTTTTATTACCAGATACACATGACCAAAAAAACACAGATACACATGACCAAAAAAAAACACAAAGACCACATAACTAAATAATTAACATATAGTTTGACCCACAAAAAATATACACAACGACATAACAATAAACGGGGAATATGCATAAACATCAACAAGATCCTCGGTCATGCATGATTAAACCTTAATTATACGATCGTTCACATTATTATAACAGGAAACAGATAAGATCTCAGCTTGGGGGAGGCGCGTATGGGAGAATAGTATAAAAACTAGGTAGCGAGTTGGCCTGGTGCTTTAAACTCGTTCTCGTCCGGGACTCTGAGCTCGGTGAAAGAGCGGTACATGATAAATAAGAACCAACCAAGCGAAAGGAGGAAAACGATGAGAGCAAAGATAGGGAATATAAGGGAGATGAGCACGATAGCTGCGAGAGCTCCAAAGAGATGACTGATGTGTCCAATGAAATTGCGGATATGACGTTCATTTCGGAGCGTGACTTCCCACACTCCAAGGATAACGTAGATCACAATCAACATCAAGAAACCACGACCGGCTAGTGCTTTGGTTTCAGCTGAAGATTGGTTTGTGACTACTTGGAGCAAACCGAGAGCTCCCCCATTGATAACAGCGATAGCCTTGTGCATGGTGGATGAGTACTTAACGTGCTCTTGATCAATGTTCTCATCACTGGAGCTCGTAGCAGTCGAAGACGACATCGCTAGGTTAGGGTTTTTCTTGAGGGATTTTTTTTGTTTTTTGGGGTAAATTCTTGAGGGATTTTTTTTTTGTGGCTTTAGGGTTTTCTTCGGATATTGATCGTGGTCTCATAGTAAAGCTTATTATTTATAGACTATTGGTAGTCAAATGATATTTCTCAACTATACAAATTAACTTTACTTACCGTGCAATTCTCCTTCCTACCCCTATATCCCTTTTGCCATTTTTTGGGTATGAAACTACAATGATTCATGTTGTTTTATTTTTACTTTGCTCTACCTTGATATCATATAATCTACTTAAATATTCATAAATATTAATTTCTTGAATGGAAAAACGACCGAAAAAATGCCGTAAAATGCATTCCGGTGAACAAAAAGCTTTTCTTGAATGGAAAAACAATTTTATAATGTTCAATCATTTGACTAACTACGTACCAAAACATTTGATGAATTAAGAACACAACCAATCGCGAGAAACCTGAAAATATGATACATAAAAGGAAAAGAATTATATAAAAAAGTATATTGATAGATACTTGACTTCGTGTGTGAGAGAGAGAGAAAGAAGCATTGTCAATGGGGTTTTGGATTGCATGTGGAATTAATTAAAATTAAATAGAGGAGATGCTATACAAGAGGAGATCTATACTAGTCAACCCAAATATAATCGAAGTGGAAAGTTCAATCTAATTTTTCAAACTAAACTGTACAAGAAAACATATTATAGATTGGAAGTAAAATTTAAAYTTTTACTAGAGAAATTAAAATTACTTACTTTGATTCCTTCCCACAGCTTCTCAAGCTTGGTGCTATACATACTTAATTCGACGAGGGACTCCATGTTATCAATAAAAGACAAACATGTCATTGGTGAAAACTTCCAATCTAGTAACTGAAGTTTTGGAGTTATATACTTCATATACCAGGATAAAGATGCTATGTTTATGCTTGGATCATGAAAACCACCATGCAATCTTAAGAATTGAAGATTGGACATTCCTTCAAAAGCTCTCTCACTTATTTTGTTCCAAGTCATAGTATATGTGGAATATATGCCTATAACACTTTTAGTCATCTGAAAAAGACACCGAAAACTAATTTGAGATGATATAAAATAAACTCAAGTTGTAATAAGCAATGCAACGGAAGAGTAATGGGAAAACTAATTGCTGTATGATCAGTGAGAACTTCATGAATATCTTCATCAACCAAAAACTATCGTTTAATTTCCGTTTCCGATGTTCACGGACAATTTTGTTACCCAGTTGGGCTAGCAAACTATGCATCTTTATATTTCTCCAATCGAGAGAGAGAAGCATTGTCAATGGGGTTTTGGATTGCATGTGGAATTAATTAAAATTAAATAATT